ACCGATGAGGCGGCTCTACGAGTATTCGAGAGAAAGATTTTGCGGACGATGTACGGGCGTGTACGCATTAATGACGGCGAGTACAGCAGACGATCGAATGATGAGCTGTATGAGCTTCATAAAGACATGTTCATAGGCTACAGCGGCTCCGATGGCTTGGCGATGTGGTTCGAATGGACACCGACGCTCCAGCTCTGAAAGTATTCAACTCGGACCCGTTGGTGGGTGGTAGCAGAGGAAAAGGGAGCCCCCATTGCGATGGAAAGACCAAGTGGAGAAGGACGTCGCTTTTCCAATTGGCGTCAGATGGCACAGTTGTTGAACTCAGCCAAAATCGCTTAGGCGCCAAATAAGAAGAAGAAGAAAAGAAGAAGGACGCTAATTTACCACAAGTTAATACTTACAACAATCTTCTAACAATAAATAACATTATTGTAGATATTTGAAAAACGGGCGTGGCACCGCCCACCTATTACTTATGAAGTTTATCACGGTAAACGCTTCATCGAAGATATTATCGAAAATGCTTGAACTCGAGGAAAGCATCCAATCCTATAATGTAATTTTTCTTTTTTCAAAGTATGCTTTTTGATGTAGAAATGTCCCTAGAGCATGTAGATACATTTCTGCATCAAAAATAAAATTTTTAAAAATGAGCACCGCACAGTGGGCAAAAATTCTAGCCACACAACAATGTAGATGGTGTATCCATTAAAGTTCGGCTAATCACTTTCAAATATATTTTATGCTAGAAGTGCAGAAAGTATGAAATTTGTAATGGCCCGAACTTATACCTTTTCAATTGTTTAAACTCGAAGTCCCCTAGTAAGCTGTACGGGTAGGAGTGGCACCTGCCACCTGCCCCTTTTCTAGCCACGCCCTTGCGCGGAGTGGCACTATAATATAACCTATGGAACTCTCGCACCCAAAGTGAAGTTAAAAACATGTTTTTTTTATTATTATTAGCAACAATTTTATTGAATTCTGCATCCATTACTGCTAGTAAGTGAGTACTTCCATTTATCATAGTATTTCCCATTACCTTTACATTACATTAATCATATTTTTGCTTACTCTTCATGACCATTTCTTTCTTCTTTTTTTTTTGCAATTTCATCATACTTTCACAAATACATGTGTATAATATGAATACTTATGTGTATGTGTGTGTTTGTGTGTAACTTTTTAATTAAAACTTAGTATGCAGTTATACAAAATTATTATTTTTCTATAGAATTGAATGCAAACTGGAGGCTTTCTTGCGTTTTGTTTTGTAAATTTTCGGTAGTAAAGAATGAAAATTAATTACATATGTATGTATGTTTTTTTTTTTAATTTTTCCTGCATAAATTCTTGTTGGCAAATGTTTGTAAACAAGTATTAGCTGAAATGAAAATACTTCATGAGTTACTTTTAATGACTTTCGTTTATTTTATTATTATTATATTGTTTATTATTATTAAGTATTTGTATAATATAATGTTTTTCATCGTAAATTGTTGCCTTTAATTCAAAGCACATATATATATCTATATATATATATATATGTATGTATGTAGTGTGTAAAATGTAAATACAAAGATTTGAATGTAAATGTAAATTTAAGTACTTACTTATAAATGAACCGCTTGCTTGAGACGGGACTTAATTTGCTTGCTTACTTTCGCAAATTTTACAATTTATATCAGACTTTAATGTTGAACGAAAGTGCACTACGAAAATAAAATTCATTTATACGTTTTTGAGTGTCGAAAATGTATGTATGTATGTTTGTATGTATACATTCAAACGTATATCATATTTGACTTTAGTTGTTGTAATTAAATAATTCTTAAATAAAAATTATTTTTCAATTTGTTAGTCGAACGGGAAAAAATTAAATTTCTCTGCATTACTTGCTGGCATGATATTTTCCAAAGAATTAAAGAAAAAAATATTGCACAATATTTTTTATACTCGCATCATCTGCTTGCCTCCTCCTTCTCAATGCATCTTAACCCTTACCTTCACTTCTTTCGAAGCTAGCATGTTCTCTTTTTTATTTACATACACATTTTCTTGCTTCACTCTTTTTTAGTTTATTTTTTATTTATTTTTCTTGCTTCAGCATGTTTAAATTTCTTTAAGTTTAAATTAATATTTGATTACATAATAGAATTCATAATTTATTTAACATATTTTCGCATATTTTCTCTTTTTTCTTTAGATAATGCAATCACAGTTTTAATATTTCACTTTCTTTTTAATCATTTAGCTATTTTTGTTTTTCTTGGTTTGCTTGTTTGTGATTTGTGTATACTTTTTTTATTTTTACTTTAATTTATTTACTTGTGTGTGATTTTGTTTGCTTTTCATTGCGTGTGTTTTGTTATAAAGTAAAACTGAAAATAAAAACAAAAAATAGTTTTACGAAAGAAAATTACTGTATCCTTCAGAACTTAAATTTAATTTTATCTCCAAACACGCTTTGAAATGTCAAACCGTCTTGTTGACATCTCAAATGCAAACCTGCACTTCCATCTATTCAATTATCAAATTTCACTTTAACCTCCTATTCATTCCTCCTCCTCCTTGGTATAGTTTCTAATTTTTGACATAATTTTCCTCTATGTGTCCAAAATATGTGAGCCAACTTGAAGAGTCGACTACATTCTTTTGTCCATATTAGTCCCTTTCATCGCAATTTAGTAATGCTTTTTACAGTCACCTCGAGCTCCTACTTGCCCTCCCTGCACCCATAGCTTGCTTCTTACATTTCTTCTTCTTTCACTTGTTTTCTTTACGGCTAACTATTTTTGCTTTCTACAATCAACTCCTGACTTTCTCTGCGATGCGTTTTTTACACCTTTCTTTTACACGTCCACACTTAATGCATACTTCTCTCAGTTTCCTTCTTCGCTTTTCTATTAGTATTTTAAAACCTTGGCCAATTTGTTTTCCACTATCAGCAACAGCGACAGGCTGAAATCATTTTTGCTAATCCAGCAGTATTACTTTTTCCAGGCGTTCAGTCCTCTATTCCACTATGAGGTTGACAACTTAGAACTTGGGGAGTTCTCGGTACTTCCATAGATTTCGAAAATTGCCAACTAGACTTAAGTCTTATTCTCTCTGACCGTATCCTAATGCCGGTAATCAGTAAGCAGTCTCTCTATTAGTGAGACTTATCGTGGTGAACATCGATTGTGAGACTAAATATTTGGTATGTACTCAGTCAGGTCTCTAGTCTAAAAAAATGGATCTCTAATTTGTTGGCAGGCTCTACGCAGGCCACAACAACAATTTCAACAAAAAATAAACCTCAATAAAAAATAAATAAAACAAAAAAAACTATATATTTTTTAACAAAAAATATAAAAAAAATTAAAAAAAATATATTTTTTTTATAACAACCAAATCAAAAATTTAAAGGAAAATTTAATTAAAAAAAGAAAAAAAAATTGTAAAGTAAAAAACAAATAAAAAAATTCCGTTTAGTGCTTTACCGCGAGCAAGATGACATATGTACTATGTAGACATACATATGTATATCAGATAGGGATGTCGGAAAAATATTGATGCATCGAAAATATCGATGTTTTGCTTCGATGCATCGACAATTTTCCACTCGGATGTATAAATACTCGATGTATCGATGCACCGACGCCAGAAGTTTCGTGAAGAGCAGTGGATGACTTTAATATTCTTAGCATTGATGCTGGACCTGTTATGTAGCTTAAATGATTTTCAGCACGGCGCTGTTGATCAGAGGTTCACATTGCTATCTTTGGAGTAGTATTGCATGCGAATCCAATAATTATGTTTGAGCTGTATTTATTGTTTTGAGATTTTTTTTTATAAGTAAATTTTTTAAACTGTTCTCTTATATATGCATGTATGAATGTAATCCTAATTACGTAATTAATTCCTGAGAAGTTTGTAGTCGTATGCCTATTTCTTTATCCTAATTTCGGTTTTGCTTACTGTAAATACACTGAACTTTATTACATACATACACATTTCTGTCGTGTTATATAACTTGTTTCAAAATTTACATTTGGGGGAGCTTTAAGGAGGTTTGATAGAAAAAATTGTGCAAAAAAATTTCTTGTTGGAGACTTGCATTGTGCTCTATTTTTGCCTCGGAAATTAACTTAGCGGTCTACAGCTGACACTAACAACTGCGTACGAAAAGAGAATTGGCAGGATCTTTACGACAAATTTGCCGCGTGTAAACTCCGTCTTAGGTCAGGCAAATTTAAATATTAATTTCCTCCTAAACTATCAAAAACCGAATTTTTCTTACCCTCGGCCATATTATGTAATAGAATTTACGCTCATTGAAGAATGGGATTTCCTTACGACTTATAAGGCATTACTTTCATTATTTTGAGCAAGAAATATCAATTTCGGATTTTTTTCGGGATTGTTCGGCACTCTTCGTGTTTCATTAGTTTGGACTTTTCGCGTGGTCTTCGGCATTTGTCGTATATTTTGGATTTTTTTCATACTTTTTCCGTTTTTTTTTTCGTTTTCTATTTTTTTGTAGGAATTTTTTAGTGATTTTGGTGATTTTTCGGAAATTTTATAGATATAGATCCCGGTCTCATCGCGATTTTTTCAGTAACTTTAGGGAATTTTTTTTCATTTCGGTATTTTTTTAGTTTGAGATTCTTTCGGGACTACATGTGTTTTATTGCTTGGTGTCTGTGGTTATTTTTTCGGGAATTTTCGAAAATTTTAGATTTTTCAGGCCTCTCGCGATTCTCTTTGCTTCGTTTCTTGGTTTTTTGTGGGAATTTTTTAGCGACTTTTTGGATTGCAGCTTTTGTTGGGGACCTTTTTATGTTATTTTTTGGAATTTGGAATTTCTATGAACTATGCGGATTTTTCGAGAGTTTTAGTGTTTACATTTTTTGTAACTTGTGATGTTTTTGGAAACTCTTAAGACGTTTGGGAAATTTTCGAGATTCTTAGTATTTTACGTTTCGGGATTTTTAGAGATGTTTAGTATTTTTTTTGTTTGTATATTTTAAAACTGGTTTTCTTGCTCAAAACAATAAAGGTCAATAGAAAACTAAAAATTTGTATTATAAAATGCCGACTTTGGCATGGTCTCTACTTGAAACTACATACCTTCAAATGTTTTTCCACTGTCTCATATGAAAAGTTGAAAGCTTCGAAGGTTTCGCCATTTGGGAACTGTCTAAGGTTTTTCCCAATAAAACAGGTTTTTTAAACTTCTTACTATTTGTTTTATGGAATTTTTGACTTCTTCTATAAATAATAACGAGTAGCCGGCTTCAATTCCACTATTGAGGTAAGAGTAGAACTCCACACTTAGCTTTTTAAGCGTTTTCGATTTCAGCGTTTACACCGCAATATAAAGCTTTTAGCTGTATAAAGTGCTGAAAACCTGATTAGCGGTGAACGCTTGTAAAGCCTCCTAGAGTAGAACTCCACAAAGTGTTTTTCATGCATTTAGACAGCGCTTAGCGGTTCATTCAACTATGAGATTTATAAGCTAAGTTGAAGTTTTTAAGACATTCAGCGCTCTTCAAGCTTTCAGTGCTTTTCAAGCTTTCAGCGCTGTATTCAGCTACGAGTGTTATTAGCTGAATTGAAAATTTTCAGGCATTGGGCGTCTTTCAGCCATACAGCGCTTTTTTCAGCTATGAGTCTTATAAGCTGAATTGAACGCTGAAGATCTGAAAAGCACTAAAAGTGTGAAAAGTTTGATTTGGAGATCTACTCTAAATATTTAGCGCTCAAAATCATTCAATAAAAAAGTAGTTTCTTTTTGAAAATAGTGTTTCAAACTGTATGTGCTTAAAGTATTCCCCCCCTTTTACCTAAATTTTTGTTCAGTTGTGAATATTTGTAAGTACTATTGCAATTATTTATTATACATACACTGTAAATGCAATGAGTTTTTGCTTCATTTTGCAATGAGTCTTTTCGTATGCCCTGAGTTTGTGGTATATATATTTATATTTATTTATTTCGTACAGTATGTAGTTTGGTTATTATGAAATTATATACATATGTATGTATGTATGTGTTTTCGTGTGAATGCATTTGTCGGTTCGAAAAGAAAAAATACAAAAATTAAATTTTTATACGATTTTCGGCGCCATAGCATAATCTTGCCTTTTATTCGAGCATTGAGCTTTTATACGAAAACTTTTTAGCTATACTGTACATCCCGTTGTTTATATGTAAATTTTTTGTAATTTTTCGCAGCAGTTCAGAACTTTTGTCTATCGAAATTTATCATTCAGCCATGTGTAACTCAAGTGCAGAAAATAAAAAAAATTAAAAATAAAAAACTAAAATTTTCATGCACTTAAAAATATACTTTTTACTCTAATAAAAGAGGATAAGTGTTACCAAAAAAAAAAAAAATTAGCATGCGCAATTAAAATTTTCTTAAATTTTAATTTTACCTTTTTTTTGTTTTAACTAGCATTAATCTATTGAAAATCTCACACTAATGTCACACCGCCTTTGTAAGTTCCTTAAAAAATTTCCATTACTTTATTTTAAGCCAAAAAAATTTGTACAATTTTGTTTTACATAAGCTTGCGCAAAATTTTTAATTACCTTGGAATTAATTTTAATTCTTATTCCGCTATTTGCTTTCTCCACTTTTAATTATTTTCTTATTTATTTTTCGCTTTTGTTTTTCTTTGCTATTAGCAAATATTACCTGAAATTTTGTACTAGTCATATTCCAAAAGTTTTTTGTGTTCAATGCGTTTTTTGTTTTCATTCTTTCTTACTATTTCGTAGCGGTTTCTTCTTCTGCCAGCTCAAAAATTTTCACCGTGTGACCTTAGCGTTCAACTTAAAATATTTTGCCTTTCTATTTTTCCCCTCACCTGAAGAAACCAAAAAAATGCTACATTGTTTTTGTTTTTTTTTGTTTTTGTTTTAGAAAAATTCAAATGCCTTTACTTATTTCTTCACTTTGTACTATTTTAATTATAATAATGCTTAATTTCTTTTTCTTTTTTGAGTTTTCTATAAATTATTTACTTAATTTTTACCACTTGACTTACACACACACTGACTTTATTTAATTTTGCTTTACTTTTATTTATTTTTTTTTCAATAGCATTCAAAACACCGAATATTTTTACATATTTTTGTTTCACTATTTTAAATTTTTCTTACATCCAACAACAATATTTGACGTATTTAACTGTTTTATGTTCTGAACTGTTTATGAAAAAATTTCTAGGCCTAAAATTTTGTATAGCTGTGGGTTTTAATTACACAATATTTACGTGAATTTCACATGAATTTCGAGTAGAAAATTGTTTTAGTAAAAACGTGTGTTTTTCCTATGTACAGGTGTCGCTTAAGTTTTATAGTATACATTCAGATTTACATTCAGGTTGACCCAAAAGGTGTTTGCTTTAATTTTAGTACTTTGCAGTTAGTTGTATTTTTTGAGTAGAGTTGTGGAGAAGAAATGCGCACGGAAGAATATTTTTTTTTGTAAAATTTTTAAATTAATAATGCCGAATTTCCACTAGGCATTGCAATGACAAAAAATTGGTGCCATTTAAAAAATGTCAAATGGAAATGAACTTAATAGCTATTTTTTTAATTGACTTTTTAATGCCCAACTTTGTCATTACAATTTTTACCACTTTAATGCCTAGTGTAAATCCAGCATAAGTTGTGGTTGTGGTGATCACCTTTAACATTCGTAAACGGTTTTTACTCTGGTACTAGCAAATTAAAGTAATTAAGCCCCAAAAAAATCTGTCTATCTATTAAGTAGAAATGAAATGGCTTATCACAAATTAAGAAAGAGAAAATTCTACGTTTAATTTAATTTAGAGGTCTTTGTCTGAAAGTGTGAAACTAGCACTGGTATGCTAGTCGCTACGCAAAGTGTTTGAATTCTAAAATCAGCTATCGCTAATTTTGTTCGCGAAAAATCTCTAGTTCCATGCCTCACATATTGCCACATCTGGCATCTGTTACTTTTTCATGTTGCATACTTTTAGGCACCATGCTACTATTCATTCAAAAATTGTTAGCAGCAGGTCTTGCGAAATCAAGAAAGAAACTTACGCATATGTTCAAGACCTACTGGCATGTCTATGGAACCCATATGATTTTTGGGAAGTAATTTCGATGAAACAATTTAAGTAATTTATGGCGTGAACATAATTTGATGGGAATTATATAAAATCGTTGACTTCATAACTTGAGGGTATGCAAATAATGCATATATATGCAGTATAAAAAAAGCGGATGCCTGAGATATGTAGATTTTTGGCGAATAAAATTTAGCATAGCGAATGAAAGTGGTTTGCGTTGCAAAGAGGGTGTTTTTTTTTCTTGAAAATATTCTTTACAACGTATTGGCTACCTTTTTTTTGCTAGATTTTAATCGATATTAAAGCGGTTTATCGAAATTCCTTAGCCAATTTTATAGAAAATAATGTATTTTCTCAAAAATTTAGGTTGAAAAATTATGATCGTTTTGCTTGTTGGTGTTTCCGACAGGGTAGGCATATGCTGTATTGTGGAGCAAATTACAATATCCCTATTCAAATTTAGTTTAAAATCAAATTGAAATTCTATTAGAACCAATTTAAATTAGTAGGGGGAAAGCACTTCCGGTGAAGGGGCAGATAACCAGTGGAGGGAACGATTCTCGTACTACGTTAGTGTGAAGCGAAAAAAAAACATTTAATTGAATATTAAATCGCATTTATTTGAATTATTAAACAAAAAATTGTGATTAAGTGGGGAGAACCAAAATATCGACCAGCTGCTGATGGTATTTTCCAATGGCAAAAAATTGAGGCCGCAGATACTTCAAAATGTGCAAATTTTTCGGGGGAGGCAAGGTACATGCAATAAGTAGCAGCAGCAGGGTTGCAATTTTGATTATTTTTTCATTCGAAGTGGTCCATGAATTGTAACTTTTTTCTTGTTTACATTTTACTCTGTAATATCAAATTTTGTTTACCTCCAGAGACATTTTAGAGTGAAAAAATACTCGAAGCTTGTTTTTCTTCTAAAACTGCTACCTTTTTAATGTGGTTTTTGAAGCGCTTTTAACTGGGCTTTACCATAATTTTTACGGCGTTCGTGTGCAAATCCTCGAATAATATAATTTATCGACCCGAGAAATTTAAATTATACTCTCTAGCAGTGCACGAACTTCGATAAAGAGTAATAGTGGTAGATTTAACATACGAAAAATTGCGGATTTGGTAGATTTAAAAAAAAAAAACAATCTTAGATAGTTTTACTTATATAGGATAAAACATGGCAAAATCATAAAAGATGGTGATAACAGAGCAGCTGGATTTTCGCCTCGGTAGTCCTTAATGTGAAATTGATGCATTTGTTGTAATTCTTACTGGCATTGTACGTTAAATTTGTTAGTGTAATTTCTGTTTTTGTGCTCGCGCTTTCATCTCATATGAATACGCACCGGGATTAATTATATTTTTATAAAAAAAACAAACAAAAAATTTCTCGCCAATAAAATATTCACCAAAAATCCTTTACAAAAAACTGGGCTCGAATCATGGCGTAAATTGAAAAAGCGACTTGACTACCGAATGCCCAAAAAGAAATTCCTTATAAAATTTAATTTGATTTCGAATGTTCTAATTCGGGCCCTGTACTAATTTTAATCCATAAAAAAAAAAACCAAAATCATCAAAAAAGTGTATTTAGTTATCATTTTAAATTGAAATTGAGGGCTAAAACTGCACACAGTGGGCGTCGTGGAAACTCGCTATTATAAAATCTACGAATAAAAACGCTTGTTAGAAAAAACATATTTACATACAAAAAAATGCTATCACTAAATCCGAGTGCATTAAAACGCCAGATGTTGCCAGATTCCAATGCCACATTTTGATGCTTCGAGTTTCGAAAATACTCATTACAAGCGGACTCAAAAATTCAGCTATTAGAATTAAGTAATAACATTTTCTAAGATCACAAAAAATCGAACATACTATGTACTCAAGAAATTGACTCGAATATTTCATTCTTCCTTTACAAATTTGTATTTGTTTTTCAAAAAAAGAAATGAAAAATTGTTCAATGTATCCATGTAATACTGTTGCTGTAAATAAATCACGATAATTTTACTCAAGCGAAGTGAAATTACTTTATATTCCATAAAAAAAGTAAGAAAAATGTTTAAATTTTTTTTTCGCTTACTTCATGCGCATTTCATTCTCTTCCAACTCTTGATCTATGCACAACAATTTTACCCAAATGTAAGCACACTAAGTCAGAGTTTACGCACAGAATTTTGGACACTGTGAGTTCTAAATATGACTTCGAAATTTCATGATTCAATTTCGCCATCAATAGTTTGTTCTTCGGCCGCGAATTCTCGTTGTTATGCCAATCTATTTAAACTCGTCTCTATTGTGTGTAAACATTCATTAATTATTTCGGTATGTAGTTAGTATTTATGTAATTTCTGCTCAAATTTACCAATATGTCTAATGCATACTCGTTCTACTCTGCACTCTGCGCTCGAAAGCGTGTATGGTCAAACTACAGTGTTTTTTGGTAATATTTTTCACTTTATTTCAAAAGTTTTCGTTTTTCTGCTCGTTATACACATGCATTAGTTATTTGTTTTTTTTTTTGAAAATTTTTATTTTTTTATTTTTTTGTAATTTTAAAATTAAAATTTAAGTTTTAGTACAGTTTTTTACACATTTTACATTTTACATTGGTAACATAGCGTTTTTGTGTTTCTTAATTTAATTGCTATT